ATAACCGACACAGACAAGATCTGATAGACTACAAACACAATCCCTTTTGCTGTCCTCATCACCCCGGCCATGTCCCTCTTCTCCCTCTTACATGCAGCTCCCATACCACACTTTCACACTGGGACACAGAATGTTTTATATCCTAGCTCTCTATTTGTGAGCAGATGAGAAAATAATCACACTTTCTGAGAAGGAAGAGCCAAAAACTCCCTTTTAACAGGAAGAAACCTCCAGCAGAACCAGACTCAGTGCGAGCGGCCATCTGCAGAGGCCGAGTGAGGTTTAAGGAGACAGAAGAAGAGATACAAAAAGCAACTGTAAGCCAGCTCCACAGGTGGCCCCATCCAGGAAACACACATCGAGGAGGACGAGCTCCGAGCCAGCTCTCATTTCAGAGGACGAGGAGAACACATCCAGCCAGTCACAGTCAGAGAAACAGGACTACACTGAAAAACAGGCCGATCTCCAGAAGTCTAAGCCTATAGCAGCATAACTACAGAGATAGCTCAGGATAACCTGAGCCACTCTAACTGTAAGCTTAATCAAAAAAGGAAAGTTTTAAGCCTACCCTTAAAAGTAGACAGTGTGTCTGCTTCACGGGCTAAAACTGGTAGTTGGTTCCACAGGAGAGCAGTCTGATAACTAAAAGATTTGCCTCTCATTCCACTTTTAGAAATTCTAGGAACCATTAGTAAACCTGCATATTGAGAGCGAAGTGCTCTGTTAGGAACATAAGGAACAATCGTATCTCTGATATAAGATGGAGCTTAGCCATTTAAGGCTTTATATGTGAGAAAGAGCCCCTCCTGCCACCTTATCGTGGTGGAGGGGTGTCCCAATGATCTTAGGAGTTATGCTTTCTCTGGGCTTTATGCCCCCTAGTAGGGTTACCCAAGGCAGACAGGTCCTAGGTGAGGGGCCAGTCAAAGAGCAGCCCAAAAGACACCTTATGATGAATACAATCAGTGAATCTAACGTTCCCTCGCCCGGACACGGGTCACCGGGGCCCCACTCTGAAGCCAGGCCTGGAGGTGGGGCACGCGCCTGGTGGCCGGGCTTTTACCCATGGAACCCGGCCGGGCACAGCCCGAAGAGGAAATATGGGTCCCCCTTCCAATGGGCTCAACACCTATAGGAGGGGCCAAAGGGGTCGGATGCATTGTGTGATGGGTGGCAGTCGAGGGCGGGGACCCTGGCGTTAGAGAGGTGAAGGAGAGGGTTGCCTCCCTCCGCATACGTGTGGGGGGACAGGTTCTGACTGTTGTTTGTGCTTATGTGCCAAACAGCAGTTCAGATTACCCACCCTTTTTGGAGTGTTTAAAGGGTGTACTGGAGAGTGCCCCTCCTGGGGACTCCCTTAATCTTCTGGGGGACTTCAACGGTCACGTGGGCAATGACAGTGAGACCTGGCGAGGCGTGGTTGGAAGGAATGGCCCACCTGACCTGAACTCAAGTGATGTTCTGTTGTTGGACTTTTGTGCTCGTCATGGATTGTCCATAACAAACACCATGTTCAAGTATAAGGGTGTCCATATGTGCTCTTGGCACCAGGACACCCTAGGCCATAGTTCAGTGATCAACTTTGTTGTTGTTTCATCTGACCTGCAAGGTTGTTGGTGCATGTAGCTGCGGCAACCCTCAAACACGCTGGTGGACACCAGCGGTGAGGGAAGCTGTCAAGTTGAAGAAGGAGTCCTATCAGGCTTTTTTGACCTGTGGGACTCCAGAAGCAGCTGATATGTACAGGCAGTCAAAGCGGCAGGTGGCTCGGCTGGTCGCTGAGGCAAAAACCAGGGCGTGGGCTTCGAAGTGATTCTGGTCCAAGATCCGGCGTCTCAGGAGAGGGAAGCAGTGCAGTACCAACACTATTTATCGTGGGGGTGGTGTGCTGCTGACCTCGACTTGGGAGGTTTTTCCTGGAACCCCACTGCATCATATCTATAGTGGTTCTCATTTTTGCTAGATATGAGATATAAGGGGTTGTCTGCAAACTCAATATTCTGCATTATTTTGACTAGCTTTCTGCTCGTTAATGCCTTTCTTCTTACCCACAGGTCTTAGTATGGCATACACAAACTACTAAGCCTGTGCTGATAAATGAGGGCAAGAACGGATTTACAGACTCTACTGTGGAGATATAATCTTGATCTGACAAAGGTAAAAACATACATTTAAAAAAGCAAATTAATGCAGTTCAGTATGGTGATATTTTTAGGGGACTGGTCCAAAGTGAAAGGATACTGTTAACACTGAAGACTTTATTCCTTTATGGATGTAATAAGAAAATCACTTGTCCACATTAAGGAGAAGGCTTAATTCAAAGCTTGTACCAGGATCTTCTTTTGTATTTCCCCATCCATATCAGCATTTCTCACTTCTGTTTGACCAGGTCTGGTGTCTTCTACCTCTTAGAAGACCTCTTCTGTGTCTCTCTGTTAAATAGCAGGAATCTGGAGAATCTGACTCCTTTAAATTTCTATCAAATTTTAGCTTCTACATCCTGTATATTACTCCTATTCCTTCACACTTTGCAGGGTCAACAGTAAGAACACTTCCCAGAGTAGGAAAGAACATTCAGACTGCGATGCAGAATCTAGTCAGCCTTTACCTCTACCAACAGCATTACACAATGCATTCAAACTTTAGAAAGTCTTGTCATTTTTATTGTCTGTTGGTACTATAGCATTCTGGAAAAGAACTACTTGAACAAAAGTTAAACTTATACAATTATAGGGAATGGTTGAATGGCTATATAATTGAGCTATTGATAGGAAGCATCCTACTTCCTCCTCCTAGCTCCTACCATACTGCCAGCACTATCCTGGCCACTGCATGAAAAGTGGGATTTTCGTCAATATNACTTACAGCCGCCCAGTGCAGAAGGCTGAGCTGACTCGTTTGGCCAACACTTTGCTTCATGTCTCCAACCTGCACTGGATCATAGTGGAGGACTCCAAGAATAGGACTGCTCTAGTTAGCTGCTTCCTTCAGGAAACAGGGCTTAACTTCACCCATCTCAATGTGGAGACCCCTTCAAACTTTAAAGCCAAAGGTGACCCCAGAGTACCACGTGGTACGTTGCAGAGGAACCTGGCGCTGCGGTGGCTTAGAGAGACCTATCCTCTAAACTTCAGCAAGCCTGGAGTCGTTTACTTTGCAGATGATGACAACACATACAGTCTGCAGCTGTTTGAAGAGGTGAGCTAGTACATTTTGTATGTAGAGTTTATCTGTTTTTTGCTGTCTGGCTTTCCTGTTACATGTTTTAATAATATGTCATAATGATTTCTGTAAATTCCTGTGAGTTTTTTTTTTTTATCTCTGCGCTTTCATCTAACAGATGAGGTCCACGAAAAAAGTGTCTGTGTGGCCTGTGGCATTAGTGGGTGGCCTGCGATACGAATCACCCAAGATAAACGCTCTAGGCAAGGTGTACGGCTGGAAAGCTATATTCGACCCACACAGACCGTTTGCCATTGGCATGGCTGGGTTTGCAGTGAGCCTCAGCCTGATTCTGTCCAAACCTCAGGCTTATTTCAAGTTACAAGGGGTGAAAGGAGGATATCAGGAGAGCAGCTTACTGAAGGAACTGGTGACTCTCAGTGAATTGGAGCCTAAAGCTTCAAACTGCACTAAGGTATGATGATTAATCTAAATGTAGATGTCTTTCTACAGTTTAGAATCTGTTTTTGGGATTTTAGGTGAATGACTACCTAAAGTGTTACATAACCGACACAGACAAGATCTGATAGACTACAAACACAATCCCTTTTGCTGTCCTCATCACCCCGGCCATGTCCTTCTTCTCCCTCTTACATGCAGCTCCCATACCACACTTTCACACTGGGACACAGAATGTTTTATATCCTAGCTCTCTATTTGAGAGCAGATGAGAAAAGAATCACACTTTCTGAAAAGGAAGAGGCAAAAACTCCCTTTTAACAGGAAGAAACCTCCAGCAGAACCAGACTCAGTGTGAGCGGCCATCTGCTGAGGCCGACTGGGGTTCAAGGAGATAGAAGAAGAGATACAAAAAGCACCTATAAGCCAGCTCCACAGGTGGCCCCGTCCAGGAAACACACATCCAGGAGGACGAGCTCCGAGCCAGCTCTCATTTCAGAGGACGAGGAGAACACATCCAGCCAGTCACAGTCAGAGAAACAGCACTACACTGAAAAACAGTGTCTCCAGCAGTCTAAGCCTATAGCAGCATAACTACAGAGATAGCTCAGGATAACCTGAGCCACTCTAACTTTAAGCTTAATCAAAAAAGGAAAGTTTTAAGCCGACCCTTAAAAGTAGACAGGATCTCTGCTTCACGGACTAAAACTGGTAGTTGGTTCCACAGGAGAGGAGCCTGATAACTAAAAGATCTGCCTCTCATTCCACTTTTAGAAATTCTAGGAACCATTAGTAAACCTGCAGATTGAGAGCAAAGTGCTCTGTTAGGAAGATAAGGAACAATCAGATCTCTGATATAAGATGGAGCTTAGCCATTTAAGGCTTTATATGTGAGAAAGAGGATTTTAAATCCAGCAACTTCATGCTGTCCACCCACTCTATGGCTTCCCTGTTTCCCAGTAATCCACCATATAACCTCTTTGATCTTTTCGAGTGTACAAAAACAGTTTTTTCCTGGAACCCCACTGCATCAGATTGTGCACGCCCTCTCTATAATGGTTCTCATTTTTGCTAGATATGAGATATAAGGTGTTGTCTGCAAACTCAATATTCTGCATTAGTATTTCATTATTTTGACTAGTTTTCTGCTCGTTAATGTCTTTCTTCTTACCCACAGGTCTTAGTATGGCATACACGAACTGCTAAGCCTGAGCTGATAAATGAGGGCAAGAACGGATTTACAGACTCAACTGTGGAGATATAATCTTGATCTGACAAAGGTAAAAACATTTAAAAAAGCAAATTAATGCAGTTCAGATATTTTTAGGGGATTGGCCCAAAGTGAAAGGATACTGTTAACACTGAAGACTGCATTCCTTTATGGATGTAACAAGAAAATCACTTGTCCACAGTAAGGAGAAGGCTTAATTCAAAGCTTGTACCAGGATCTTGTTTTGTATGTCCCCATCCATATCAGCATTTCTCAATTCTGTTTCACCAGGTCTGGTGTCTTCTACCTCTTAGAAGACCTCTTCTGTGTCTCTCTGTCAAATAGCAGTGTAATGATCAGTTTAACAAATCTGACCCACATGCAGAGAAACCACTCAGAGAACACGAAGAAAAGTTCAACAGGTTTATTAGTGGTAATGAGTACAGGGGTTGGGTCTGGAGCTCAGTGAACTGGTGAACCAGAACTGGAAAGTCAGAAGGGGAGATCACAGAGATCAGTTTAGGGATCCTGGGAATTGAGGCTGCGGTTAAAATTATGCAGGAGAGGGACTCATGTTTGAAGGGGCTCTTGTCAGTCCTTGAATCCAGTCTGTGTAGGATTATCCAGAGAATAGGGAACTCGTTGGAGAGCGGACAGGTAGACATACGTTGGACCTAGAGGAGTAATGGACTGTCACTTGGATTTACGATGGGAACTTGAACGGATAATGTGGAGGTTTTCTTCTGCTCAGTGTGAACTAAGTCTTTCCTTCCAGGGGACGAAGGTCCAGGTTATCCAGTTACTCAGGAAAGGTTTCCTGCTGAAGAGCAAAGACAAAGACTCATTAGACTCAGAGAATCAAGGCTGGGTTAGACTCAGCTAATCTCAGCTTGGCTAGAGTATCCAAAAGTGGCAAACACTCTGGCGCCGAGGTAGTGACAGCCCACTGCTCAAATACTCCTCCAGAAAATGGTCCAATGAGCTGCAGGTGTGCAGGGAGGCCCAACGAGGACAGGGTACCTCCTGGTGGTGGAGAGAAGGAAACACACAAACAGACCATTCCTAACAAGCAGGACTCTGGAGAATCTGACTCCTTTCAATTTCTATAAAATTTTAGCTTCTACTTCCTGTATATTACTCCTATTCCTTCACACTCTGCATGGTCAACAGTAAGAACACTTTCCAGAGTAGAAAAGAACATTCAGACTGCGATGCAGAATCTAGTCAGCCTTTACCTCTACCAACAGCATTACACAATGCATTCAAACTTTAGAAAGTCTTGTCAGTTTTATTGTCTGTTGGTACTATAGCCTTCTGGAAAAGAACTACAAAAACAAAAGTTAAACTTATACAATTATAGGGAATGGTTAAATGGCTGTATAATTGAGCTATTGATAGGTAGCATAACTCCTAACATACTGCCAGCACTATCCTGGCTGTGTGAACCTGTTTGACATTATCTTTATATCTCTGCTTCTTTCTTTATGTCTGCTTCTGTCTCCTTGAACCCGAGTCGGCTTCAGCAGATGGACGCTCACACTGAGCTTGGTTCTCCTGGAGGTTTCTTTCTCTTCAAAGGGAGTTTTCCTCTCTACTGTCGCTACAAGCATGCTTGGCGTGAAGGGATTGCTTTCGAGTCAATGACTGGAACCAATCAACTGGGTTTCCTTAGATAGAAAACTTTGAACCAATCTGACTGTATGATCTGGTGGAATTGTCTCTGTAAAGTGCCTTGGGATGATATGTGTCGTTAATGGGTACTATAGAAATAAACTGAATGTGTGATGATGCAGCAACAGTGGAGAGGTAAAACTCCCTTTTAACAAAAAGAATATCGGTTTAGTCTAAGTGTTCTTATTCTTAACTCTATTTAGGAGGAGTCATGATGTCACACTGAGCAGATAATTTAGCCATTTGATTCAGGCGCTTGGAAGCAGACACATCTAAAGAGTGGAGGACACTTTACGCCCGGACTTCAATAGTGGAACCCTGATCCATTTTTTTCAGCATATATGTGGGTCAGATTTTAGACAGATGAGTAAATTGAGGCTTATGTTTTTTTAAGCAACTATGAGACATGTTGAGAGCTGAAGGCCAGTTATTTTTTTTATATTGCAACAGTTTGGAGCAGCACGAACATTACATTATCCATCCCATCCTCCATTCTAAGATAAATGGTGATCAAAAACCAAGACTTTTAATTTAAAGTAGTCAACCACTTTAAACTTGAAGTCTATGAGCTCAAAATGTTTTTTTTTTTTAATGCAAGGGGTTTCCATACTTCTAAGCTGATGGAAAATGACATTGTGGTGTGAATTTCTGCACCTAATGTTCGAACTTAATAACTTTATAATCTGGAAACAAAAGATGTCTAAATTGATTCTCAGCCTAGAACAAGTACACTTCTTTTTATTTAAAACTTTTGGCCTCAAACATTTTTTTTTATTCAAGGGTTTATTTGACAAAAAACTAATTGGCAGATTGGCTAGAATTTCTGCAACTCAAAACCCACAAAGATTGTAGCTCCCTGTTGACAATAACTATTATATATATACTTGTGTTAAAATGTAATGAGTAGAAGTCAGAAGTAGGAAGAAAAATTGAGTAAAGTATAGATACCCAAAAAGTGTACTTAAGTACAGTAACAACGTTTTTGCACTTTGTTACTTGACACTTCTGCTTATTGGGGGCTTTGGTAGGTGTTTGGATGTGCTCTGGGAACAACTAAGATCTAAGCGCTGAACATTTGAACCTGTTTTAGTGTAAATTATGGGAATTTAGGAAACAGGAGGGGAAAAAACAATGCTTGAAGTGAATGAAGTAGATTCATTCACTTTCAAAGGGGGAAAATGACCATGAGGGTTGTTTTTAAAGGCTGACCTTATAATGTTATATTAATAATATCAGAGGTTAAACAGACAATTCAGTAGTACTCAATATATACTGCCAAGTTTACTGACTCTTAAGGGCTGGTTATCCTCCCGCAGCAGTATGTTGCAGGTCTGATGCAGATATTTTTGATTTATGCCCAATATTGAAGCGTGGTCTGTGCTATGTTTATCCACTCCACAAAGCAAGAGGGACAATCATGAACTAGATGTGGGTCTAGATACGGCCGAGGCGGTGAGGCAGTGGGGGCAAATTACTGCGTCAATGGAGGGACATGAGGGCGAAAAAGAGCGTGGATCAAGGTAGAAAAAGGGTCCCAGCGTTCTCTGCACCTCGCCCTTCCAGCTGGTCCATCTTCACGAGTCATTTTCTACAATGGCGGTCATACAAACAAAACAAGCGGGTAAGGTACCAACCAGGAAATAGGCATAGTGTAGAACGGATATAGATTTGACCAATCAGAGGCCTCCTGTCTGTGGCACTGTCTGCGGTCACTTATAGTTATGGAGAGGTGTACCAGAGTGTCTGCTGAAGGGGCACATTTGTGTTAACTAGCAACACACACACAGACCTGGTTACTGAGTATAAATCAGCCTTTGGTCAAACAATTTGCAAAGATTACAAAAGTGGAACCCAAACATTCTTCTAATACATCCCTTCTATGTAAGAAAAGGAACGATTTGCTGATATCTGTCTAGGCATTAAACAGAGATCTCTCCTCCGGCAAAAAAATATTTAAATGACAGAAGAAGAGCATGGAAAAAAAAAATACTTAGGCATGACAAGATGTGCTTGGACTAGACTTATCTCAGGGTTCTGTGGGCGACACTGGGTTGACAGTAGAAGGAGCTGCTTAATGGAACCTGACCAGTAGGATCAACATGGTGAGCTGAAGCAAAGGATGTTACCTGAGTTTACCCACTCAGCACAGATGCCACTAACAAAGCATCCAATATGCACTAAACAGTGCACCTTGTTCTGGGGGTTTCCAGATTTATTTCCTACCTGCACTTCCTGATGTGCTGCAAACTACTGAGCTGTTCAACTATTATAGACAGCATTCAGTTTTGTTAAAAATCTGTGGACTTGACAGGTTTTCTATTAGGTAAACTGAACCAATGATTTTAAAGAAATTGCACATAAAGCAATGACTCCTGATAGGTGATACTCCTGTAATGCATTCTGGGTATTTCCAGCATAGTTTACCAGTGAGGGTTTCATGTACCACATAGCACCTCTTGAACAAAGTCAGGTTCTGACTTTGAGAACTTTACTCGGTTCACTGTGTACCATGTAGTTGGTACCATTAAAGTCACAAAAAACATAACTATGTGATGTTTTAGTGCTTCAGTTTCATAAATCATGTTTGGACTTTAATGTTTTTGTAATTATTTGATTCTTCAGCGTATTTAAACATGCAACACAACCTTATCTTCAGTGATGACTGATCCTGAATGCTGATCCTGAATGTATCGACACACAGTAACACAGCTTTAAACGTTTCAAGGGCCTGAATATTCTGATTTTCTGTATATTATTGATTCTATAAATGGAAAATAGGTCACAGTGCGTTGCAGTTAAATAAAAAAAAAAGTTTTGACCTAATATGGTATCAGCTACAGATTAGCTTCTGTAGCTGATACCACGTTTGGGTGCTTTTGTTGGGATCCTCAGGCTTGCCCACCAGAGGGCGCTGAGGATCCTCTTCTGCTCTCTTTGTTTTTCTCTTAGGTTTGGAGTTACTGTGGGGATCTGGAGA